ATATCGTTCCTCTTATGTACTATATGCATAGAATATCGTTTACTATAAATAAAAATTTCTAGAACTTTGTGTTCTCATGTTTTTTTATAATATATGCTCATGAAATGATTAAAATTATAATTATATGTATAACTGTTTTATTTGAATTATAAAAGAGAACACATAAACGGAGTGCTATACATTAAAAAAACTAGAAATTCTAGACCATGTGATATTTTTATATATTTGGCAACAGGACCATTTAACAACTTCGTTGGCTCCTTTTCATTCTTAATTGAAGAAAATAACGGCGTCCCGTAATCGCGACTCGCTAATTTATTCAATCAAACTCATCGTGCAAACCGACACAATCGTTTATCGTCATTTCAGCCGTCGTCGCCGTTGATAAGCGGACGCGCCAGTGATAAAAGATTGCGCGACGAGCACATATTCCACTTACTTTATGGATATCTACCCTATTGGGGACTTGCAATTCCATTAACGGGAGGTGGTATTACACGTGGCCATCAGCTGATCGTGCGCGGTGCGCCGCCGCCGCTCCACGCTCCACTTCTCCGGTCTCCAGAATGTCTTACGTCAGTCGAGTTCCAGCTGTTGTCGGGGTCGGAGTATGTCATACGACGTCGCCAGCAGTACCAACGATTATCGTGTGAAAAATAGTAAGCACGTCTTGCGTTAATATTTTTCAGAAATTTTTAACAAACTATTTTGCGCTTGCCGATAGTCGAACCTATATAAAAACCATAGAACCATCTGCGATTGACAAAGATCGTTAATAATTATCAATATATATTATATGGTTAATTTAAGAAACATTCGGGCAATATATGCCTACGGTTAATGACGAGTAGTTCTAATATATGTAGACTTATTAATATACGCTTGAATCTGCATCGATTATAGCTTTTATTAATAGCCAATTGCGTGAATGAAACGATTTCGAACTCTTATGTTTTTTCTTTTCTTTTTTTTTTTTTTTACTTATGCGCGTTCTAAAGCAAAGATTTTGTAAATAGCGAACGAGAGAGCTAAATCTCGTTTATACTCCTAAAGTTGCTCTCTCTCTCTCTTTCACTAAGTATGTGTGCGAATCGCGCGTATATTTGCATTTACTTGGGAGAATCGGTATTCCCACTATCGCAAATAAAGTCGTTACTTATCGTGTTGGTTTTAATTTTAGCACCGCTCGTATAATCGTTTTGGCCAAGATTTTCATCTAATATGAAGGAACTGAAAGATTCATGGATTTTATACAGTAATTTTTGCAAGGAAAAAATATAAATATTTTCGAATATTTAATATTTGTTGTATGATCGGTTGTATTGTAGAGAAAATTCATATATTCTTCAAACTATTTGTGTTTTTTATCTTTTGAAAAAGTGTATAGAATTTTTATATATTATACATATATATTCTTTGTATTTCATACTATTAATATTTTGTTATTATAATTTTTCAGATTTATTTTTTTACTAAACTATTATTTTAATGCTGCACACATATATATATATACAGTGGAGAGAGAGACTGCCACTCCTACATAATGAATAAACTATATTAATGCTTTGTTCTATTAATATAATCAGAAAAAAGGTAAGTGGAATTATAATTCTACATTTTATAAATAGAAATCTTTATGTATACATATCTTAATCAGTTTTTTTTTCTGTTTACGCAGTGCTATAAATATGTTCCTAGTAGCTGCTTAATTAAGAAGTTGAAAAAATAGATAAACAATGGCTGATAAAAGTAAGAAATTATCACGTTGGTACTTTGGTGGTGTTTCTTCTGCAGCTGCTGCATGTGTGACTCATCCTTTGGATTTACTAAAGGTTTTATTTACATTTTTCTTAACTCAGTTTAGTTTTTAGCCTATTTTTTAATTGTCAATAAGAATGATCTATTAATAGATATAATATAAATCATATCATTATATTTATGCTAATCAATATTTAAATATCAACATTTTATATAATAAGTAATTATTTTTGTTTCTCTCATTATCTTTCTTTCAAGTTATTAATAAATGTTGATTCTTGTTAAATATATGTATAGAGGTATGTTAAAGAAATTTTTAAATTAAGACCTAATTATTACATAAATCTTAATTTTCTAGGTCCATTTGCAAACGCAGCAGGAAGGCAAAATATCAATAGTACGTTCGACTGTTGGAATAATTAAAAAACAGGGAATATTAGCTTTATACAATGGACTTAGTGCTTCCCTACTTCGCCAGCTTACTTATTCTACAATAAGATTTGGTGCTTACGAGGTAAGTACATGAAGAAACTTATATACATTATCTGTATACACATAAATGCCATTTTTTTCTTAATTTATTATACACAGGTCATATTGTTAAATATAATAGGTCGGCAAACAAACGTTTGAAACACCTGATCGTCCATTACCTTTTTACCAAAAGCTCTTATTGGCTGGAGTTTCCGGTGCTACGGGTGGTGTTTTTGGAACTCCCGGCGATGTGATTAATGTACGCATGCAGAATGATATCAAATTAGCACCAGAATTAAGAAGAAAGTAAGAATTTTAATATTATTATATATATTTACTTATATATTATACTTTGATTGTGCCACTTTTATTAATTTATATATATCTCTCTTTTTATTGCACAGCTATAAACATGCTTTGGATGGATTGTTTCGTGTAATTCAACAAGAGGGTGTTCGACAATTGTTTAGCGGATGTTCGACCGCGACCATGAGAGCAGCGTTGATGACTATCGGTCAATTAAGTTTTTACGATCAGATTAAAACAATGTTGTTACAAACTGGCTATTTTCGGGATAATCCTTCAACGCATGTTTTATCCAGTGTATCGGCTGTAAGTCTCTATTGAAAGAAAAAACTTTAAATTCATCTTGTATTTAAAAGCTGATCTGATATCATCTTTTATGCTAATATAAAGGGCGCTATTGCAACAACACTAACACAACCTTTAGATGTTCTAAAGACACGAGCAATGAATGCTAAGCCTGGAGAATTCAAAGTAAGTATATGTATTCAAATAATCGATAGATTTTACGAAATATACAACTTATATTTTACATTTATTTTCTATATAGAATCTAATGGAACTTTTCTTATATACTGCCAAACTTGGGCCACTGGCTTTCTTTAAAGTAAGTATCATTAAAGGAATTTTTTTTCCTTTGAACATTTTTAAAATAATTATGAGCATACAATTTTTTCAATGAATAATTCTTTTTTACTCTAGGGCTATATACCTGCATTTATTCGATTAGCACCGCAAACCATTCTCACGTTTGTATTTCTTGAACAACTCAGATATAATTTTGGATTCTATCCACAATCTGTAAAACCATCATCGTAAATCTGGTTGGTTTTGATAAGTAGAACACAATTAGATATTGAAATTAATTCTTTACACAATATGTTGTATGTAAACTGACAGAAAAATGTCAAATCTTCCTACAAATTTGAACAGACAGTTAATTGTATACAAAACAAAACATGTACAGCAAATTGATTTGTTTAATTTGCACATAATTTAATCATTAAGCTTTAATTAATTAGGCATTATAGGTTTTTCTCAGAGATAGAAATTTTAATCACACATTATCTTCCAGTCAATACATTCCTTATATTATGCATGATGTATATATACATATATATACATACATATATGTATATAACAGTACAAATTTATGCATATATATTTAGTTATATCAGCTTCTTTTTACACGCACAGTGATTTTATTAGTACAAAGAACAAAAGATATAATTTATTAATGAAAAATCTTTTTGTATTTTTTTCTTTTTTGACCAGTGCATATACATCTACAACAAGCGAAATTGCCAATGAAATGTATAGTACAATTTACAAAAGAGCTTTAGATAAAAATATATAAAAGAACGTATACAAAATCTTTTTTAATTGCTAAAATATAATATGTACTAAAATTATTTATGCAGCATGTATAATTTGCTAGTAAAAATATAAAATATTTTTATGATAAAAAAGATATACATCGCAGTTAATTTTTTTATCTATTTACATGCTTGTGGGAATGAAAATGTAAAACATATTCTCTGAATATTTTAATAATCCGAGTGAGTCATATGATTATCATTTTTATTCAAAGAATTAATCCATGAATGTGATAGAAATTGTAAAATTATAAAATGGAAATAAATATATAAATGTGTTTATATATTTTTGTATGTATACCCATGCTTGTATCGCTTTCTATCTAGAGATATCTATATGTCACATATTATTAAAATTATTTATGAAATAGGCAGTATAATTTGCTTGGGTACAGTAAGGTTTTTATATGTTTTTTCTGGCTTGTCTTTTGAGAAAAATCGTTCTGCATAAAGATCATAATCAGTTGCGCATAAGGAAAATTCTAAAGTATCTAATTTTTCACTAAACAATAAATTTATAACACCTGATGGTATTTCAGATGTTGAAAACATGTCACAATATTGTACTAGATTACAAGAGTTTTTTCCATCGCATATCACGATAACAGAATTACCAGCAATTAAAATTTGTGTCAATTGATCAAATAAAAGAGTTTCTTCTTTTTCCTTTAAGATGATAACGCCTCTTGGTTTACGAAATTTTGTTATTTCTGATCTTCTGCTTTGAGAGCAAAGTAACGATGATTCATAAATATATAAATATTTTATCCATTTTGATATTCTATCTGCTAATAGAAATTTACTAAAAAACAAGAAATCAATTATTAAAAATTATTATCAAGAATGAAATCAAAAACATAAAAAAACTATTATTAAGAATAAAAATAAAAATTTAAATTTACAACATAAAATATAAAAGACAAGAAATATAAAAACTTTCAAACATAAAATATGTTAATTATATATGTTAGTTATAAAATTATATATAACATATTTAACATACCCATTGCATTCTAACATGTATGCAAACTTGAATAATATTTGATTTCTAGAAGTTGCAGATTTGGTATTCCAAATTTTGAATCCTTCTTCAGCTGAATCAATGCACCTCTCAATATCGCAACTATGACACAATAAATTAATTAATTATAAATTTTATTAAATTTTTGAAGAGTTTAAGAATTATTTCAATTAAGAATAAGATAAAGAAGATGATATGTATTCATACCTTGTTGCATGTGCCCACAGAGTTTCATTATATATCCAATATGTGTTTTGCACAGGTTGTTGCCATTTACCATAATAAAAAAGATTATAAGTTGGAATTTCATGTTTCTTCGATTTTATCATATAACTGTCAAGATCAAAATTCTGCTGTTTATACGATAGTTTGTCCAATGTTTTGTTGAATATTTTTACATAAGGTAAAAGTGCAGTACCATCATGCAAATCCATGTGTGTATTTATGAATACAACTTCTTTCTAAATTATTAAAAACAGAAACATTAATAATTCTTAGAAAAATCTCCGTAATAATACTGTGTGTACGTTATAATTTAAATAATATACATTTAAGGATGTTGCTAAATTCTTTGCAGCTATAATATCTTCTGACCATATGGATACTATATTCATCTTATGATGTATATTTGCTGTAAGTAATTCTTTTTTTGATCGAAATACATAGATGGGAAAAATTGAATTCTCAAGATATTCTTGTAGAAGCCATAAAAATTTTTGTTTTATAAACTCTTGGACCCAAATTTTATGTAAATAAGGGAAAGCACATCCTCTGTTGGTTTGAGAGTAAATAACTCTCAAACAGCTAATAACTGCATACAAATCTGAATCTTCTAGAAGTATCATTTCATTGGATTGATCTGTACAAATTTTAAAAATCTTGATTATAAAAGAATATATTTTTATATTATTAATACGTTTCTCTTACCTGTTAAATGGAAAGATTTACATTTCAATTGCTCATATTGAATTGTTCCATTCAATGTATAATTTTTCCTAAAATAATATTAATATAGAAATAATTAATATTTATAGAATTGATAATTATATTAATTTTATAA